TGATTTTTTCATGCTTTTGCTTGACGTAGAATGTGTGATATTGCCGCACTTCCCAAACTTGCAAAGCGACAGCACTTCGACGTGGTAGGGGCACGTAGAAATGCTGGCAACTATCTCCCTCAAGAGAGCATGTTATTTCTCGTGCTCTCTGATCTGCCGACATCTGCCTCCTCGCAGTTTTCGACGAGCTGCCGGCAGGTTGCCTGCAACTGAGCTCGCCAAATTGCCGGCAGCTCCTCCTGCGCTTCAATATTTTCCAATAGGAAAATTTCTGCGGCTTTAAATTTTCTATGGAGGTTTCCTCAAAGTTGCGAGGGCACTTTCATCCGGTAAATTTCTTGAAAAAGACTTGAGACGGCCTAGATTTGAGATTAGTTTTTGGCGACCTCACGGCAAGGTGCCGGCGACGTGCCGGCAAGACCTGTCGCTAGGTCGGGGGATTACTATCGGTTCAGATGTCCACATGGGACCACTCACTGGGGTCCGCATCAGTTGATATGCGGGCAGCCGCTTGCAGCCGCACCGTGTGTAATTACCGAAGTGCGACGCAGCCCTTATAGCTACTCGGCAGCCCCTCTCGCCTCTCTAATCCTTCTCCTCGCCACCACGCTTTGAGATGTGAAAAGACCTGGATTACACAGTCGTAATGGCCAAAAATATTTATCAAAAGAAGGTATTAACTAGACAGTTTCAACGAAGGATTTCCTAAAAACATTTAAACGAACATAAATATAGAACAATGATTAGAAAGACTTGAACGATTGGACATCTGTTTTCAACAACAAATATCAACACATCTCAAAAATGAACAATATATTTGGAAACATTGAAATTCAACTCGGAATCAAATCTAGGTCTGAGAAAAATTTTACCCTCGTTTTTCAGAATTTAACTCGAATTCCCTATTAATTATCCTTTGAGCATTTTTCTGCTGATAGCAACACGTATAGTCAAGAATAAACAAATTAGGCCATTTTGATGCAGCTCCTCTACTCTATGTGCTTTCCAGCCAATTTACTTTTAGAGGATTGGCTTGAACTGCAAAACTTGTAGGGTGTGAGTTTAGGCCTAGTTATTACAAGAGACATGTGCGAGATATTGCCATACTTTGAAAAAGAGGAAATTTCAAAAAATTTTAAAATATTAGTTGCAATCATATTCACTTTATGAATGACTAGATAATCGCCGGGGACAGGCGGTCCGCAAACTCGCGCTTTTCTGCAAGCGGTCAGCAGAATTTTGGGGCGTGGCCAAACCTTCAGCGGGCGGTATTTTATTTACTGTCGCGCAATTCCGCCAGCGGGCACAATACAGCATTCTCTGCAAGCGCTCGGCAAATAATTTCTTTCAGCGGGCGCTGGCCAAACTTTCAGCAAGCGCTCGGACTCTTTCAACGCAATTTCGGGCGTACGCCGAGCTTAGTTGAGACTCTATGTGGCAGAGGTGTCATCGATGGTATTTTAATTACCCGAATTTAGGGAACCTTCCTTCAGCGGAGGATACCCTGTGCATTGCAGTCCTTTACAAAGGGCGGTGCGTCCCCCAACAATTTTGCATTTTCTCGCGGAGAGTCCGCGAAAATGCGGCCACTGCGCCGCAACTCATCCCCAGAAAAGCCGCGATAGTTCTCGGAGCGTCCGTCTAAAAATTGGCCAAAATTATTTCAAATTTTTGCAAGAGGACCGCAAGAAATCAGCAAACTATTTTTCCAGTCCCGCTTGCTCAAAATTCGCATGGCCGCCTGCCCGGCGATTATCTGAGGAGGAAGCCGGATTTTGAAGACATTCAATTTTTTGAAAGTGGGGTGAACAGTTTGAACCAAGAAATCTCACCACAGTTGAAGAAAAGCAACTTGTCTCCCATCTGCAATCATATACGTTGTGAATGAGAAAGCTGGAATTTTTAAAGGCAGTCAATTTTTTTGAAAGTGGGAAAAAATAGTTTAAACCAAGAAATCTTACCACAGTTGAAAAGTGTAAAGCAAATTATCTCCAAGGATTGTCGGAACACAAGATGATTAGCTCTCAGGAAAAGAAGGAAATATTTAATTTTTGTTTTCGAAATTTCAACTGATCTGCTAGTAGGTACCTGTTTTGCTGACTCAACATGTCGGTACAGATATTTCGCAGTTAGTTCTGATTCAGTTGCATTGGTGGTGCCATCAGAACTGTGATGCGCGATCTAGGTCTTTTCGCACCTCAGAGTGCGTTGAGTGAATGGCAAGAGATCCGGGTTGCCGCGTAGCGCAACGCAAGTAAGTTGCGTCGCTGCTCGTTACAACCACCCGGTGCGGCTGCAAGCGGCTGTCCGAGTATCAATCGACCGCCTCCCTCACCCCCTTTCGGCGACATATTGTCCTCCACCCCAATCTCAACAATCATAACGGTCACATGATATTTTAAAATGGTGTGTGACCGCAAACGTTAAACTACAATAGTAAAATGCGCAGGAGTATTGCTATGTACTTGTGCATACAGTAGTCCTTCCCTTCACGTTATCCATATATCTTTACGGGCTATTGTCATAGCGATTCCTCTTAGCCGTCATACATGGAAGCAGACTCCACCTACGCGGACAGATAGCATGAGGCCCTTTTGGCGAGATAATGTTCTCTACCCAAATAGCAGTTCTATCAAAGTGAGTACACTGTGTGATCAGTCTGACAATATTTCTGCTGCACTGGTTGTTATTGAATTTCGAACTTCCAACAATATAAAATGCTGTGGATCATGTGAAGCAACCAAATGCTTCACTTCCATTTTACACTCCTTGTAAGTTTCTTAGTAGAAGTCTATGATCGACAGAAGCTGGTAAGCATATGACAATGATAAGAAAACTGCGATTTTACGTGCAAAAGTCTATAAAACATCGATGTGTAAAAATGTATTTTGTGACTTGATATATCGGTCCTAAATGTGCATGGTACAAAGAACGGCATGCTAGCATTTTTAAAATTTGTTTCGATAACAACTCAGAGATTGGAGATTCAATTTCGGAGACGCAGGAATTTTGAATATGACGAGGCGGTATTTTGGAAAGCGAACGGCAGCCAGCCTTTCGTTGACATTGAGATCCATTGCGAGACAAAAAGCACGATCAAAGCGCGAAAGTGAGCCAGAATCGAAGTTTTTGAAACAAAGTTCCTTCGAAGTTCCTTTGAATTTGCGAATAAGTTGTGTGACATTTTTAGAGCCTCTTTCTCCTCTCCACTTGGCTTTTTGCCCAATATGTGTGGGACTGTGGCTCAACCTAGACCAAAAAGCAAGAAGCCGAAAACAAATACCTTTCACCCTCTACTCCCCCCTCCCCCTCTCCCTAACCTCTACCTCGCTTCCCCCCCCCCCCTCCCTTCCTCTCTTCGACCTTTGCGAATAAGACGAATAAATCATCAGAACAACCAACAGAAAAGAGAAAGAAAAACCAAGGTAATCATAATGGGCATCAAGTGCGAAAATGAAGGATTTGCGTATCGTTTGCTCAATGGCGAGAGGAGCAGATTATGCTGCCAACGAGAATTTTCCGAGGCTATGAACAGCCTAGAGGAAAGATTATGAAATCGTTATCCTTTACGGAAACTTTTACTAAGCCTGGAAATCATGACTTCAGCTCAGCTGGCATCCAGTTGGAACCGTTTTAGCTAATTCGGAAAAAGGCCTAAGCACGGCTTTCACTGACGTAAGTTTTCATGAATTTTCTGCTATAGTTGGGTCCCTCACGCGCATTTGCACAGCAAATTTGGTGTCACATCATTGCGTTTGCTTGTTGTGAAGAAGATTTGCTTGTTTGGGCATATTTTTGCTATCATGCCGCCGACATACTAAGAAACAGCGGCATGATCAATCACAAAAACGGTATCTCTTTTGCTTTTCCACTCAAAAACGATATTTAGATTATCCGATGCTTTCAGCTGCGCCAAGCCCTGGCCGGACATATCAGGCACACGTTTATAGCGATAGTAATGAGCCAGCACTTGCAGTGTCGGGCACATCCTCCATCTCCGTGTTTTTACATTGTCAAGTGTTCCTGGCCCTGATCCTAAATCTAAGGTGCAAATCACGTGAAAACTCCCGAAAATCCTGATCAGGTTGCGTTCATACTGTTCCTGAACTTCCCGATCATTGCGACCGATTGCGTTCATACTGATCGGGAAGTTCAGAAACAGTATGAACGCATCCTTCCTCTTTTGATGAGCGTGGAGTATTCGGCGCTAATAAAGTGGGTATAGGAGTGGGTAGGGAGCTCGCTTGCGATGTAGTAGACGGATCACTGCACACAGTTGATCCGTTGACAAACCTCCATCCTGGAATATTGTTTTTTGCACTCTCTCGCTATCGAAGACCTCTACGCGCGTATGTACGGCAATGCTCCGCCTACTTCAAAACAGCGAGCAAACGATACGCGTGAAAACACGTATCATAGACAGGTGCATGGCTTGCAATTGCACGCGCACAACACTGAGCTTGTCCGCGCAGGTGTTAGGAGAGCAGAAAGTGGTTGTGGAATCGTTTGAAACCGTGTTTGCGATCTTGAAGTCGCATTATCCAAGCAGACCTGATGGCTATAGCTGAGGAGACTATCCAGCTGTGGCAACATCTAAGGCTAGGCCAGTTTTGCCCGGACGCTGCCATGCGATGCATTCATGAATTTCACAATAGTTTTACTGCGGTCCTACGATGATTGAACCCAAGCCGTGCTTTGTTTAATACACCACAATATCACTGGGAATTTGAGTGCATATTCCAAACTTGATATGCATGCCGAATGTTAGTCAGTTGAACCAGAATTTTCTTTTGGGCTACCTATCTGTACGCTCGCAATCCATTTGAAACGATTGAATTTGTTCTGAAATTATTGAAACGAATGACATGTTGCGCGCAATTCTTGATTACTCATGTGAAGATCTCACTGAGTGCACCTACTTGTTCACTCTGCATGGGTTTTAATCCTATCAAAAAGGAAGAGAACACTATTGATTAACTCGCAAGGCTAATAAAAATTACAGCTTTCAATCCTCGTTGCTTGTTCCTCTAGCCATAGGTGTTCAATGAATGACTTTACCAAAGAGGTCCGTTCGGAGCTTCGTTCGTTGTTGAAACGAGACAACACAAGCGTAAAATGGGTGAGTTCGATAGCGCCTCTATCAAAAATTTGGTTGCTGTTATGAAATTCACTTCCTAAGCCTCATATCTTGTAACTTCGACTAATTATGATAAAATATATATATTCTTACTCAACTTCCCGTTTTTTAACTTCCATCAAACCAGGCACCTCATTGCTCGAGCGCACAGTTCGCTTCCGAACTCTCAAAAGAAGATAAGTTTGATGTAATTCGTGCAATAAGAACAGACAACTACGCAGTCAAATTGTTCGCAAAGTGCGTTGGTGCTTTCACAACTCGTCTTCATGTTTCTCACCTCCATCTATTTTCAGAGGTAAACCGCCAAGAGAAATAGCGTTACGACTGAATGTTACGGTAAGTAATATTCCATTGTGGCATAAATCGAGAACTCAGGCTTCTTTTCATGTCAACTAAAATTGAAATCTTGGCTTTGCCTCCTGACATTACTATGAGAAAAGCAATTGGCCGGTGACGTTTTGAACCATCATTCAACTAGAAGCATCAGGCGGAGCACAGGGGATTATCATTTCGAGTATTACGGTCGGTGCGGTTCGTGTCTTAACGAGCCGTCTCTCTTGCGTCTCTCCTTGCGCTTGCCCTCACCGGATACAGTATTTTTCCATTCTGGAGTAGCAAGTAATGTATCCTTAGGATAATGTATCCCAATTGAGGTGGCTCACGAGGACACTCAGTTCGGAAGTCCTGTGGTTGCTGTCATGGTTGTGTAATAAAGTGCCGTTCATAATTATACGAACACCCAAAATTTTGTAAGTTTTCGGACTTTTTGGGAGAAACTCAAAAAGCCGTTGTTACCACGCGAAAGAGCACAACCGAAAACGGTATACAATCCATAAGAATGGAAATTGATGTCAATCTTAGGAGTGTTTTTGCGCCCAATGCGAAGTTTTAGCGGTTCATAATTATACGAACACCTCAAACAAAGGTCCATTTTTTATTCAAGATTGCAATCATTTAAGTCCAAATTTTTTGTAGAGTTACAGTAACAAAGTCTGACATATCTGCTACGCACTGAACCCAATGCAGTTTTAAAAGAGGACCGTTACTTTTTTCAAAAGGCTCTAAATGCTTTTGGAGTGATTGCGCTCCAAATACATCCGTTCTTCTGTGGTTTACGCGCTCTAATTAGCTTCTACCAAAGCTATGAGATGAAATAAGTCTTGCGGTAGGTATTTCGTTTGACGCTTGGAAAATCTTTGCGTTTTCGTGCCGTTTTTCAACCAAGCTCCATCCCAACTCTAGAGTTAGCACGATTTCGAGCCTCAAAACTCAGCTTCTGAAGCCGTACAATGAAGAAAGCATATAGTATGTAGAAGTTCACAAGACTGAATATTTGGCTGGGAAAAATCAGCAGCGTTGAGCGTTTGTTTTGGCCACGCAGACGTCATTTCACCAAACTGTTTTTACTATTGCAATCACACCCTTATTTGGTTTGTAGCTCCATAGCCTCAAGATCAGTTCTAGAAAAAACCCAGAAACTTTGGCACAGAAACATTATCATGCAAGCAATGCAGCTGCTTCATATCAAATGTTTGCGCAAGAGAGAAGCTGAGTTTTGAGGCTCGAAACCGTGCTAACTCTGTGGTAAGGTTGGAACTTGGTTGAAAAACGGCACGAAAACGCAAAGATTTTCCAAGCGTCAAACAAAATACCTATCGAAAGAGCTTATTCTATCTCATAGCTTTGGTAGAAGCTAATTAGAGCGCGTAAACCACAGAAGAACGGATGTATTTGGAGCGCAATCACTCCAAAGCATTTAGAGCCATCTGAAAAAAGTAGCGATCCTCTTTTTGAACTGCACTGGGTTCAGTGCGTAGCAGATATGTCAGACTCTGTTACTGTAACCCTACAAAAAATTTCGACTCAAATGATTGCAATCTTGAATGAAAAATGCACCTTTGTTTGAGGTGTTCGTATAATTATGAACTGCTAAAAATTCGCATTAGGCGCAAAAACACTCCTAAGATTGACATCAGAGTCCATTCTTATGGATCATATACCGTTTTCGGTTGTGCTCTTTCGCGTGGTACCAACGGCTTTTTGAGTTTCTCCCAAAAAGTCCGAAAACTTACAAAATTTTGGGTATTCGTATAACTATGAACCGCACTTTAGCTAAGGGTGGAGACGTAGCGCCTTTTGTTGGGGGATCTTTAACGACTAAACTATGCGAAAAACAGTGCTTCAGAGTGAAGATTCAGCAAGTCTATCAGCATCATCAGTGATGTGCACAGGATCTTAGCCAAGGAAAAGTGCTTACTTCTTTCAAGCTGACAAGCAAAATTGCTGCATTCCCTAAGCATTAATAACCGTTTTCATATTTGCTTAGAAATTGTATTGAACTTGGAAGCCTAAACAAGCGCATGAATAGCTTCCGACCAATTTCTCATTTGAAAGACACGCTCTTGGTTGTTTCGCACTTTTGATGATCTTTGGCTGACTGATTATAAGAGTTATACGGCTTTTGATTCCCAATCTCAAGCATATCTTCAGAATTAATAAGTACAGTTAAAAGTTTGTTGTTGCTTTGATAAAGCTTCTCACTCGTGCTTCAGTGTGGATCACAAAGCTGTTTCATAACTTGTTAATCGGCTTCTTCAGGAACTGAAAGGAAGCAAGAACAGACTGCGCGGTGCGTGCGAAAATGGACCTAGAAGAGCCGTCTGCGTTTTTTCACTTCAATGAGAGCAAGTATGCGCCATCGTGACCACGAGGCATTTGCAAGAAAAAAGTCTCAAATTTGAATGGGTTACTTTCAAAATAAATATTTTTACACAAATCATTTTTGTAAACCCGATGTTACTCTTCAATCTATGTTATTAAATCCCAACCATGTGCGCCCTGCAATACGATGTACAAGGTGTTCCAAAAAATGTTTCAAAGTTTTATCATTTGCGACTCTCTTATGTGAGAAGCTCTTGGTTTGATTTGCACTATTGAGCAAACTACCAATATCTCATCATTGCTGTAGGATTACTGCAGGAATCTTGAAGGGAATTTCAAGCCATTGAGAGTCCTACTTTGTCTCGGAAAGCAAAGCCGGCCTAGAAACTTTCTAAAGAGGCTAATCAGAGCTGCTGACACAAAATATGAATTTTGCGCCACCTAAAACTTTCTTCATAAGTTATGCCAAATATACCGTGATAGCAGTTTTAACAATGTTATGTTTCTCAACATGTCGACGACCGCGTTCTACAAGACAATCAGGCCACCAGTATAAGTTGCATTAGAACTTTTCGATTATACCTTTAAAAAAACTAGCGTGCATATGCGAGGATGCACGAAAATGCTAAACGGAAATCAGGGCATGCATACGTCCGTATGCACAAGGTCGTCAACGTGTTAAAAATGCGATCACTTTATGAAAGTTCAAGACATGTGAAAAGTTGAGCATTGGCTTCAACTTACGGTATTCGGATAATTTTTGAAATCGCGTACGAATTACCATGGACCTCTGAGCGGGAAGTCCCCACCGTAATTCTACGTCAGTGAAGAGCGATTTGTGATTTGCGCTATACTGTGAACTAAGGAAGCCAGCTCTACAATACAGTGTTGCGAAGCACACAAGAGAGCTACAAGAAAAAAGTCCGATATTTTTATTTGAGACATCCTGTATGTTATATGTTCTCTGGCCGTGAAACCTCAACATTGGCTTGAAATCATTAACTTTATTGTAGGCCACGCACGTTTATTACAGTCGATGTCAACCACGTGCTCCTTTTTCCTAGCTACCACGCATCCTCAACGCGTGGTCATTGCGTAGCGATCTGCGAGCAACTCGGCAGATTTGAACGCTTAAAGGCAGTGTCCGGGTAAAAACTCGATTTTGAGATTTTGTGCTTACCCAAGCCTATTCGCTATGCTGAATCCGAAAATCCACATCGTAGAGCGCGAAAACGACGAAAAAGGGCTCTAATACTGGAGGTAAATCAGCAAGTGGGCGGGGTCTTCCCACGGTGAATTCACGCTCTCAGCTTCGGGGGCGATCTTTTTGATTCCGGTTTCAAGTCATTCGTTTGCACTTGATCGGTAGTGATGTCAGGGCGGCTAACGGATTCGAAAAAATCGCTCTGGAAGCTGGAAGCGTGAATTCACAGTGGGGAAGAACCCGCCCACTTGCTAATTTCCCTCCAGTGTTAGAGCCCTTTTTCGTCGTTTTCGCGGTACGCTCGCAAACGCGGCACGGTGTTCCAGCGTTGCGCTTGAGCTGATCGGCAAGGGAGCACATCGTTGACACCGACTGTATGTTGTTTTCTTTATTTGGTCCGAAATTTCTCTAATAGTATTTTCAGAGACCTAAATATACAGATTTGTTATGGTGTTCGATTGGTCTAGAACTTCCCTAATGACTTCTTCAAAAAACTGAAAAAAGGTCTCAAGCTTGTTTATTACGTTATACGCTCGAATTTCTCTCTTTGACTAGCTGGTTCAACGCCCTGGGCAAACGAACCACGATCATGGATAAGCTGTTTACAAATTCCGCCAAAGCGCGACTATAGACGTTTAAGTTCCACTAATGATAATGACAGTATCTGAACAATATGGTCAGCTCGAGTAATCGATGTCTATCAGAGTATCACAGGAATGGCACCGAGTCACTAATAATAGAAATTTAGGTACTTTTTCCAATGAATTTCGGCTCGCGTAAAAAATGCATACTGCTTCAAGCGCTTTGCGGGCAGCAACTTTGACTCGTGGTTCGACACAAGGTATTCCAAAAGTATGTAAAGTATATGTTTGATTGTCATTGTTTTTTCCACATGTCTCTTCTCGACCTTTTACCAGCAGAGTTAGATTCGACTTAGATATACAAGATAGAGCATTATCTATCGGTGTTCATTATGTAGAACGGTATGAAGCGCTACGAACTTTGAAGGGAGATTTGAGTCATTGCTAACTGCAGTTTGCTTTTGAATAGACGCCAAACAGAACAAATCTCTTACTTTAAGCTAGTCAAAATGTTGACTTTGAAATTGTGATTCGAATTTATGGTAAGCTTCGTTAATAAAATGTGACAGGTAGGCCATATAAGCTGACTTTACAATGTTTCCCAAAGCGTGATTATATCTTTTACGAGATTTACAAACTTGCAAAGAGTTCTGTGGCAAAGTCAGTATGTAAAAACGCTGTACATTGAACGTTCCAAAACAGCCTATTTCTCAATGACACTGTATGCTAGAGTCCTACCCTATTCCTAGAGCAGGGTTGGCACAGCTGAAACAGCCAAGCTGGATATTTTTTCAGGGAAAAGAAAAAGGGGATATCTGCGGGATCCGGAGAGAAGAGCCGCAAGCATCCGCCGTTCTTCGCGGCAAATGGACAACGCGACATTTCCTCGATTTTGACGAAATCCGGGAAACTAGCAGCGATGTCGCGCCGAACAACTACGAATGCGCGAAAGCTTGAGTGCGCAGCCTTTAACAATTGTCTAGAATTATCAGAACGTGTCGCACATCGTGTGAGTTATGCTCAAAGCTCTGGCACATAGTTTGCAGATGTCTCCGCGCGGGACCCCCCACTTTGCGACATAAAGGACCGTAGTGACCCGTCAAAAGTTTGCAAGCTGAATTTTGAAATGGCAGCCAAGCACGCAGGAAAATCCACGTTCGGCTGCCCTCCAAAACCGCTGCGAAGTTTTAGAAGCGCAGGAGAGTAAAAGCGAAATTGGAATCCAGTGAGGTTTTCACCAAACGTACACGTTGGCGAATCACCTGCCAAAATTGCACTTCCCGCCGGGAGTATCTCAGGTCCGCGTAAACGTTACTCCCTCTCAAGCTTGAGAAGACTCAATTTGACGAACAAACCAGAAGTCCTAAAATTCCTTTGCTCCTTCCTTTGCCCCACAGAGCTTCTCCTAAATGGCTGGGCAGGGACTTACCACCCAAATTTGCCTTTTCACCATCTGCTTACTCCTGTAGAAGACGCACCGGCCGCCATTGCCTTGAAACAACCTCTTAGAGATGAACGCGGCACATTTATTTGCTATATTAGTGGCGATTCAAGATACAAAATTTCCAAATTTATTGTAGATCAGAACGAAGGTTGAAATGTTACAATATTTTCCTTAAGACGTACAGTCGAATCATGTTGTATGATCATGGTGTCATTCAGACACCGTCCATCTTTAGCGTCCCCATCCTGGATTCTTGGACGAAGCAACCCTTCAGGTGAGTGTTTTAGATATGCTTTCAATATCTTATTTCTGTTTTAGGTACTGCTCACCTCAAAGTGATGTAAGCTATAGCAGCCGGTCACTCTGTTGCGTTTTCGCGGTTGCGAGTTTAGGATGAGGACGCCAAAGATGGACGGTGTGTGCCGGTGCACACATGATCATATGAAATGATTCGACTGTAGCTGTACAAAATAAGCGTCTTAGAGCTGGCGTTGATCCAGAACGTTTCCATAATCTTGCGCGCAGCAGCTCAGGCTCTTAAGGTAGTATAGACATTCCAGTATGTTTTCAGCGTTTTGGCACGAAATATAATGACTGCCTAGCACTAGCTTGGTTTTAATTTGTTTAAACCAGCCAGATGTTCTTTAAAGCGGCAGCAAAGAGGAGGGCGTCCTGTTTTCCTACGTATTACCGCACGATAAACATGTGATGAGGTATAACTGCGTAGAACATGCAGTCACCTTCTTTGCCAAATGAGCAAAAGCAAAAGACACATGGTGGAGTTAGGCATATACGATATGATCGATTTCGGACCATTTGATGTTTCCGGTTCGAGAGCTATGTATCGACCACCCCGACAACGTCCTGCAACCCCGCGGGATGTTCGGACCGCCGTACTTAACTGTATTTTATTCAATGCGAACGGCAAGCAGAAAGCGATTTTGGAAGCGGGATTTACGCATCATCGCAATTAAAGGCAGTGGCTCGGCAAACCCTCAACCTGAAGTTTTTTCGCTTACCTGGGATAATTCGAGGCGCTGATTTCGAAAATACACTTTGAAGAGCACGAAAATGCAGAAAACCAGCATTTTCCAAGTCTCGTTCTAAATTCGGACGAGTGGATCATTCCCCGCCATGGCTAGAGACGTAGAGTCGTCGCGGGACCCCCATGTTTACAGCATTGCGGCATACCGCCTCCGACGGTGGAAGGGGAACCGCAAGCTCGTCCGAGCGCGTGTAAGAATGACTTGCGCGCGCGGGTTCAGGGGCAGTTTTCTAGGCGAGGGCAGCATGTAGTGCGCTCGGACCTGCTCCAGTATGATGTTTGGGATGCAAGCAACCTTCCATATCAAAATTTTGTGAGGTTCGATTTTGCCGAGCCACTGCCTTCAACTGTTATATTATCCGATGCGAACGGCAAGCAGATAGCAATTTTGGACAGTGTATCCAGGCAGCGGTGCCTGCTCTACATCGTGCAAATCGTGAAGGTTTAGGGAAAGCTCTGCACAGGTGTACGCATTAGAGTTTGCTAGTTAATATGCTAACTCCATAGAGTAGATCCGCTCTTGAATACCTGACAAAACTTTTGCTGCTGTTCTACACATTTTATTGATGACTGCGTTTCTGGGATGCGCAGATAAATGATGTACTATAATATTTCAACAGCTAGGTGTACGGTTCCATCTGATTCTACATTCCCCGACGGGCAGCCATATTTGTACAATAATGAACGGTAGCCAGTTTTCTTTGGGCTTCTTCCGTGTGAACCTCTCGTACTGCATCAGACCAAAGGATGAAGCAGTCGTTCAAAATGTTGATGA